TGCGGTCCCGAATCTGGTTGTCAGACCGAGCGTAACTATAGCTGCAGTTGAGGCTGCCGAGGCGACCATGTACGGTTCCTCAGTCTGATGCTATCTGTCGACTGGCGCGGTGGTGTCGTGGGTGCTTTATTGTAGTACCGAATATGTTGTGATGTCTGGTGTGGGAGGTGTGCGAAGGAGAGGGCCGAGAACGTCGCTCAAAAGAATAGAGTGGTAGTGTAATGCTTTACTTATGTGACTGCCTGACGTTTGGCGGTGACTTAAGGATTTGTCTGGCCCTTGTTTATGTGGGTTGGCCTTTGGGCCATGCCCAGGCCCCATTTGCCCTGTCGTCATCGGAATACATGTATCCAGCTGCACTTACTGACTTCTTTAACCGACCAGGAGGTCTCGGTACGCCACAGTGGATAGATGTATTCCGAAGAGAACAGGACAAATGGGCCTGGGCATATTCCAAACGTCAGCTCACGTTTACAAGGTCCAAACAAATTTTAAAGTGACCGTCAAACGTCAAGTAGTCCTTTAAACAATGTATTACAAGCACCACAATCTGCTGACGCGTATTAGTTGTTTGACATGTGCTTTGTGTACACAGTGGAAACTAGACTTTCATGCCGTGCTCGAGGAGTCACTGGATACAAACTCCGGCCCATAATGGAATCCACACATCCTTTTCTATATTGTTCTTTGTATGGTGTATTCTTATGCCTAAAAAAGCCTGCATTCAAGATGGCTTTGATTGACAGTGATGGAAAGGTATGGCAATGTATCCAGGATTGTTTAAATGTGCTCATCATGAGTCAGCCGTTCATTTGAAATGCTTAGCTGGAGGAGGATTTACACGAATCCATTTGACCACTGTATACGTTTTCTTTAACCCATTTTGTAAATCATATTAACTTATGCGGCTAGGGTGATGCTGTATTAGACTTTCAATGTAAACCATTGATAGAGGAACCCATAGAAAAATTTTGTTTGGCAAAAAGGGCCAGGATACCGTAATGTCTTGTTGATGTGACTGCTTATAAGGCTGATATTAAGGCCAGGTCTCTCCCTTCTTCCACAATACAAGTATTCGACCTTACCTTATGCTTTCTCCATGTTTCCGAACTTTGTGACATACCTCTGCGCTGCGAATGAAGAAAGCCTACTAGGAGCGGCAGATTCGATTACCTATCCATAACATAAAGGCTGATAACTGAGTCTGCATCTGACTTTTACTGCATTCTCATTTTTCGCTAGTAAGCCATTAACAAATAAAATCACACCGTGTACAGATGCCAGCGACATCAATGCGCTGGTTTTTATTTGCACTCGGGACTCTGTTCGGTTTCGTTTTACTTCACACAGTATTGTTTTAGCTAAGCGCTTTAAACCTGGATCTAGATACAACTAAAGGTCAACAGAAGTTCCATTCTCTGATTTCCGCTTTTGAGCCGGAGGCTGAATATAGTCTCCCAGTCTCAAAGGAGGCAACGACTGACGAGACTTGTATCGTCCCGTGGTTTCCCTTAGGATGGAAGAAGGCATAAGTGAGATTTATTACGTGTATTCTGAAGACGACAGGACAAATGTGGTCTGAGCGTGGCCCGAAGGCCAGCCCACGTGTACAGGACTCAGACAAGTCCTGAAGTGACCGCCAAACGTCAGATAGTCGCATAAGCAAAGCATTACACTGCCCCTCTCTTCTTTTGAGTGACGTTCTCGGCACCCCCTTTGGTACACCTCCCCCGCCAACCATCACAACATATTCGGTACTAAAAGAAAGCACCCACGAGCCAACCGTGCCAGTCGACAGACAACAGGAGAGAGAGGAACTGTACCTGATCTTCTCGGCAGCTTCAACTGGATCTGGAGTTACCTTCGGTATGACAACCAGATTCGGTGCCGCCTACACATGTTGACCATCAATTGCTTCCACAAATAGAAGGTGGAACTCTGGTCTACAACAGATTTGTTACGGGGAAAACGGGATGA